ATCTAATGATTAGCACATCATCATAAAAACAATTACAATAATATTATAAATATATTTATATAGGACTAAAATATGACAACTATACGTTCATGAAGTGCTTAATAATGAAGTAACCGGTCGGTGAGACTCACTTCACTTCACAAAAGTGTTGCTATTATACAAAATTTTCAATTGCCATAAATTGACTGTTTCTTGTTGGTCATAATTGCGCTAATACCATGTTTCCACTGGTCTCATTAAGTCAGTTTTGTCATTAAGGCTACTATTGCGCATAAATTTTAGCACATTCACACTATCTCATTTAACCACTTTTATTCATTAATGTCGCTATTGACAATCATTTCACATATAAGAAGCTTACACATAAATGAGATCGTTATAAGTAAATCAAGTAATTTAACGTAAAAAATGTCAAATGCAACCCTTAAAAATAAATATCCCATAAGGGCAATTACCAAAATTAGAAATATTTCTCAAATGAAATATTCAAAAACAACGATTTTAGCCCTGCAAGCAAATATAACGCGATTATAGCGATAAATATTCAAAAAAAAACCAAGGAAAAAAAGTTTCAAATCTGGTTTCTAGGATGTGGTCGTAATGGCCACCTGAGGGAAATCATCTTTTATCATTCATGCTTTAAAAGAATGTATTGAATAAAAGAATACATAACATTTTTAGTTCAATTATGTTTATCTTTTTTCCATTTAAAATTTTGCATTTCTAAAAAAAACAGTTTGAAATATTTAAGATTAATGTTTATAACAATGATCTTTTAAACACAAGATCTAATAGATATGTAACAGATATTAAAAGAATATATACAATACATTGCAATTGGATGTATATAATCATATATTTACTATAATTCATATAACAGTGTTTATTTGAGTATATATTTGAAATTAATATAAATTTACTTGATTAATTTACTTAACTAATGAATTTTGTTTTTTTTATAAACAAATAAGTGTTTAAAAATAGTTTGTGAAAAATAAAAATAAAAACAAGAAATATAATTTGCAACATGGGTTTCCAGATTTTTTCAAAATTTATCCTTTAATTTTTTATATTGTCAAAGAGTTTTGTGATTCACATCGCTTAACCGAAGAAAAACCTCTGCAAAAAAAAAAAAATAAATATAAAACTATATCAAATTTTTCTTTTTTTTGCAAACCTTCAAAATTTATCATTTTTGTTATAATTTAATCTCTCCATCCTGAAAGGATTAAACGAAAGGTTAGTGTTACATTTGTCCTTTATCTTAACAGCCCCTGCATATAAATTGTGTATTTTTCATGTTTGCTGCCATCCTCCAAAAAATACACCTAAACGAATTATAAAAATTATTTCTTTTTCTCTCATTGACATCACAATTTTGACGACTCACCATGCCTCCTTCATCCATAATTTTGTTAAATAAGTACACCAAAAAAAAACTGATTGCATGATGATTTGATCTAATTATGATGAGATCTAAGACAGAAATTACCGACTCTGTGGAGGTATACAGCTTACAACTATTAACCTTTCCTTCCCGAAACAATCAAAAGAATCTGATAGTTCAATACATTAGTAAGAAAATCTGGCTTCATTCGGTTTAAGTATTAAAGTCTGCGTCCAAATGCTGTGAGTCTCGAGTTGTGCAGTAGACAATTTTCTGTATACCTATGACATACCAGAATCTTGTTTATCGTCGGTATTTTCTTTTTCACTTTATGGAAATAGTGAAGAAAAAACCATTAACTATATGGGTACAATATGGTATATGTTAAATTAATGAATTTTTAACTTACACTGTTACACTCTTCCTCCCGAATCTCATCATTCTAGCTTTTGAATCAGTTTTTTGACTTGAAATATATGATTTATTTCTTCCTTTGTTTCTTAAAAGCTTTCTTCTTAACAGGGTTACAGCCCATCGGCATATTAACTATAAGTGAACCTGAATGTCCACTTGGTCCCGGCATCTCCAAATTCTGTCGCTCAGTCATTGGAATCGAACAATTCATGGCACCCGTGTCAGTTTTATTCTTTCTCTCCTCATTAATTAAATGGAGCAAATTCTGTTTAAGTTTCAACTCATTTTTACTGATTGACGAAATTTTAAGCTTTGCCAGACTTTGCTTCTTTTTAACTAAACATCATTTATTAACCACAAACATAAGGACTTGTTTTTTTACTTCATATAATTTGTACTTACAGTTTTTTCTCTTGGGCTTTGGAGGATATTTCCGACCTTTTTGAACATTACGTTGTATTCGTAGTGTGCAACATTTTCCATTTATGTGCCGCTGATCCTTCTTCTCATCTTCATCCTCAAAGTCATCATCGTCGTCATCATCATCTACTTCTGATTCTGATTCTGAATCTAAATCACTTCCGTCTGAAGAGCAGTCACAATAAACAAGTCTTTTGTGTTTTCCTTGGAATGGTCTAGGTCCAATAATTGATGGTAATTTCCACACACTCTTTTTATTGTCTTCAAGTTGAATCCTCCTAACGTCTCTCTTAAAAGTCTTGTCAATTGAGTTGGCATGATTCTTTTTAAGAAAATTAACTTTCTTTATAAAGCCTTCTACGATCTCTTTTTGACGTTCGCGGTGTAAATTAAGTTCCTTTTTAAATGCTTTAAATATATCATCGAGTGAATCACTAAGATTTTCTTTCAATTTCCGACCCATATTTTATTCCGAAATATATAATACACTATAATTTGGATATAGAATTCTTTAGTTGTTGGCAGAGAAAAAATTAGAAACTGGCTTTAGTTGTAAAATATTTGAAATGAATTGAAATAAAAATTTGTTTAAGTTGAAATAAAAACACGCCTGCTTTATAAAATTATTTGAAAGTAGAAAAAATTCCAGAACGAGTTAACTTCGGATGATCATAATAGACATATATAAGATTTTAATAGGAAATTTCTTGCTTAAAACATAATAAGTGCGTGTCTTGTGTTAGGTGCATGTAGAAAACACTAGCTGATATTCTTATATTTAAAAAAAGGCCTCAACATCATGGCATACTAAATTGAGGTCATATTAGTGACGAAATAATTCTCCAGCTATCATCTACACAAATGTTCCGTATTTTATTTTGCTTTTATATATAAAGGTAATAAAATAACAATTTATTTATATTTTTTAAAAATTAACGTTTTTAAAATAATTTGAAAAACTATTCGTTAAAGACAAATTCGAAAACCTTATCATAGAAACAGTACCAAAAACAAGAAAAATTGCTTGCTAAAAGCATTAAAAATGTTTATAGTGCTTGCTTTGTTAAGTGAAAGCGCTAGTTAGCATGGACAGTATCGTTGAAAGGAAAATAATGGCAGTGCTAGCGAACTGCACTAAAAATGGTGACGGAATTAGTAAAATTAAGAATTGGGCTTCATTAGAGTTGAACTTTGTAAGTTGTAAGTTAAGTTACATAAAAATTTTTAATATTGAAGTTATTTTTTTGATTAACTTTACTTTGTATTATAATTTTTTGTGAGTAAATGTAATTTATGTTAAAAAGTACTTACTATGGAAACTAAAAAAATGCTAAAAACTTTTTATGCAGTCTATTATATTTCTTTGGGTATGTTTAGGACAATTTATTGTTTAAAGAATATAAGATATTATTTTTAATGTGATATATCGTATCTGGCTGCACTATATATAAATTCACACTTCCTTTAGTGAATTGTATAGCGACAGCTTGTTTTTTGGGGAAGGGGGGTTGGACAGAATTAAGTGTACAAAATATCTAAAATATTTATTAATAATGTGTAGTTTTTTTTTTTAAAGAAATTTACTACCTATGAACTGCAAAAGTTTTTAAGTTGACATAAATTATTGTGTCGAACAAATTACGAAATATTTTTGTTCATTTTTAAACGGCAGCCCCATTCGGTTTTCCTCCTCCGACTCAACAAATTACGTATAAAAAAATAATGGCTTCCACATTACAAGTATTTTTTTTAGTTTTTAAATAAGAAAATGTAGTAATGAAGCTATAAAACAATAAAACCGTAAAATAAGATACAAAAGGCAAAATTGACTTACTTATGTCAAAAATTTTAATTATGAGAATTGCTCCCTTGCGA